TAGCCGCATTTACTGAGTTTACATCAAACTAAGACAAGTTGAATATATGGCATCGTCGTCTTGGCCATCTGAATGTGAAGAGCATGAGAGAACTCAAGACTATGGTAAGTAGCTTAGATCTTGGCAATACAAGCTAAAATACAAAACAACTTGCATGTGAAGGATGCATACAAGGCAAATAACAAAAGGCCTCATTTCCAAGGAGTGTAGCAACACGTGCTACCAAGTTATTGGAGATTGTCCATTCAGATGTATGTGGACCTATGAAGAACACAAGTATTGGAGGATCAAGGTATTTTCTCACTTTCATTGATGATTATTCAAGAAAGATTTGGGTCTACATTCTTAAAGCCAAAAGTGAATGCTTTTAGAGATTTAAAGAGTTTAAAGCACTTGTTGAGAAACAAAGTGAATACAAGATCAAGGTGCTACGTACGAACAATGGAGGTGAGTATATGTCTAAGCAATTTGATGTTTATTTGAAGAATGAAGGAATTGCTAGACAAACCACAATTCTATACACTCCACAACAAAGTGGTGATGTTGAAAGGGCAAATCGAACCATTGTAGAGATGGCAAGGAGCATGCTTCATGGTCAAAACTTTGGCTATGAGTTTTGGACAAAAGCTATGGTGAATGCAGTGTATATAAGAAATAGATGTCCAACAAATGCTCTTGCATCAATGACACCACAAGAAGCTTGGAGTGGGAGACAACCTTATATATCCCATATGAAGACCTTTGGTTGCATTGCATATGCAAAAACACAAGATTGTATGAGGTCCAAACTTGATGCAAAGGGTACAAAGTGTGTATTTCTTGGTTATTATGAAGGTACTAAAGCATGTCGGCTAATGTGCTTGGAAACCAAGAAGATCATCAAAAGTCATGATATTGAGTTTTTAGAGCACAAAAGTGCTTGTGAGCACTTGGAGATGTGTCCAAGTGGGAGTAATGGTGTGTTTGTGGACACATCTTTGAATTCAGCAAAGAAACAAGAAGATGAAGACAATGAAGATGATGAAGATGAAAAGCCAAAGAAGGTTGAAAAGATGAAGGCTCGTACAATTGATAGGACCAACAATGAAAGAAATGAAGATGTTGAAGATTGGGATGATGATAATGATGAAGAATATCAACCATTGAGTGAAACACGACAAGGTTTAAGAGAGAAGAAGGTTGAAAAAGAACATGGAGTGCAACATGGTGAATGTTCTTCTAACAGTGAAAGCAGATATCCTTTGAGAGAAAGAAGGCAACGTGGCGAATAGTGGAATGATCACATCTTCCTTCAAGTAAGTGAAGAACATGCAAATGTTGCTCTTCTTGTTGTTCCATTATCTTTGTGTGATGCTATGAAGTGTGAAGATGCAATCAAGTGGGAGAAGGCTATGGAAGAAGAGTACCAATCTCTTATGGACAATGGTACATAAGAATTGATACCTCTTCCAACAAATCGATCTAGTGTTGGTTTTAAGTGGGTGTTTAGGACTAAAAGAGATGCAATGGGTGTGGTGGTGAGGCGCAAGGCAAGATTAGTTGCCAAAAGATACTCACAAGTTGCTGGAATTATAAGAGACAACCTACCATTGTAAGATCAACGATGGAGGCATGTTGGATAAGGTAACTCTTAGAAGACATTAGTCTAGTGTAATTAGAAGCAACTCTAATTATGTGTAACAAAGAAAGATGTCTTGTATTTGCCAAGAATCCAAAACACCACTCAAGGACCAAGCACATTGATGTTCAACATCATTTCATACGAGAAAAGATTGAAGATGGAATAATAAGTATGAAGTATTGTGCTACAATTGACATACTTGCTAATGTGCTTACAAAGGTATTAGTTAATGAAAGATATCATGACTTGATTCAGAGATTAGGATTAAAAGCCTTTTGAATATTAACAAAGTGAGAGTGTTGAAGATCAGCAAGTACTTGTTTAGTTACAACTACATAGAAATTAAGCATAGAATGTTGCTAATAGTCAAAAGATAGCAAAGAATTAAAGTAAGTTATTGTGGTGGTACCAAGGGTTTGTAGGTGGCGGCTAAGTTAAGAAAGAACCTAGGATTTATATGGATGAAGTAGAAATGGATGTAATATCAAAAGGATGGAAGTTGCCTTGTTCGTTAGCAAACCACCACCTATAAGTAAAGAGTGTTGGAAGTAAGAATTATCTTTCTCCATACTTATCTTAGACTACAATACTTGTTGATGCTAAGTGTTTGTAGCTTTTAGACTTCTTTTCTTCAATAACCTTGTCATCCACCACACATCATCACAGTTTCTTCTAATGTCACCACAAATCACCACAAATACGCATTGCACATCACAATGCACTTTACAAAACATTTCTAATACACACCACAATAGACAATATACACACTCTTTATAGATGAATAGTTTAGTGTTTCATAAAATACATTGTGGTGTGCAATGCAAGTTCAAAACACTTTATGGTAGCATTAGCAAAAATTTCAATGACATGTGGTAGATAACAAATTGTGGCTTCACAAGCAAAAACTACAATAACATGTAGTGGATAGCAAGTTGTGGTGGCATTAGTAGCATCTTTTTTTAAACATCATTGTGTCCAATACAAACAATGTACTTTTTGAATATAATAAGTATAAAAAAGAAAAAAGAAAAAAGAAACCACCATAATAGTAAAAAAAAATCAATTTTTTTATTGTCAAAAAGTGGTGTTCTTCTAATATGGATATAATCTCATGTGAGAACAAATATGCATAGGCCTGGTTTTTTATTATTGTATAAAAAATCATTTTTTTAAAGAAGGAGTTTAGAAATAAATATACACATATAAATTTATTATAAGTTGACAAAAACTGCATATCATATAAAATAGATGTTTTCAAGTTGATTTCTAAAAATGATTTCCTTAAGAATATGAAAATTACAAACAAATAAAAAATTCTTAAAATTTTATTTTATAAGAATAATATGTTTATACATATATATATATATATATATATGATTACATGGTAACATACAAAAACTAATATTTTCTTCTATTTTAAAATTTTAGAATGTTTTTATTAATATACTATATTCTATTTTACATACAAATATATAATTAAGCTAATAACACAGTGTAAAATTCTTTTTAAGAGTCTTCAATGTAAAAGACATCTCTACAGCCACATATAAAAGAATTCATAAGTGACTGTTGTTATGTTCAACGTTCTTTTGTAAAAATTATGCACATGTTATGATTTTATCAAAATGAGCCTAAAACATTAAGTTCTTTATTTAACTATTTATATTCTATTATAAATAGTATAATAATCAGATTAAAATAACAGATATCCATACTAACCTTTTTAAACTAATAATTAAAAAAACATAAATTTTAAACTTGCTTCATTTATAATTCCTATATTATTTTATTTGGTAGTTATAAAAGATTATTATTTTTTTATCAATTTTATTTTTGAGATATTTCTCTATCCCTAAATTTAATTTTTGTACTTAATCTCATATTTTTATGTAGAAATTTACATATTTATCTATATCATATTAAATTTCAATCATATACATCAATTTTGATAACAAAATTTATTGATATGTATGTATGCATGTTTTAAATTATATAAATTTATTTGTAAAATATATGCACATAAATAAGAATTTATTTTATTTTATTTATTTATATCTGTCTATATATATATATATAACCATATTCTGAAATTAAATTAAAATTTGCTAACTCAACTATAGATATATTAAAGTTTAAAAACAATCATAAGATATTATAGCAAAAACAATTTTTTTTAGTTTTTTTTTTTAGTTTTAGTTTTTTTTTTTTTTTTTTAATAATTTAATGTATCTCTTCTATTTCTTGCACAAAAATTAACTAATTGGATAGAAAAAACTTCTGTATTCAATATTTTAAATAAATAAATTATATATTTTTTAAAATAACAAGTGTGGTATCTTAACATATATGTATAAAAACTTTGTGCATATATATATATATATATATATATATACGTATATTGCAATTGATATATTTATTAAAGTTCTACATATTAAATGACAATAAGTAGATAAAATTAAATTCCTTATGCATTTTTATTTTTATTTTATAAACATCTTATAATTTTTCAAAACATATACATTACTATGAACAAAAAACAAGTTTAATAAAAATAATGTTTTTTTTTATTATTATTAATATTACTATAATCTATAATTGATGATATATTCAACTTTTAATCCACTTTTCATTTTTTAAATAGAAGTTTATCAAATTGAGTCTAAACTTATTAAATCCTCATTAAATCCTCATTAAATCCTCATTAGGCACCATGTGCCACACACTAGATCTTAGCAACTCTTTTAGTCAATTGTGGGCATCATAGAAGGAAGCCATAATGTAATAATTCTTCAAAGAAAATCAATGTAAACCAGTAGGGATACAATGAATGAATGAGCAAATCATGCCTTGGAAAATAAAATAATTACTCTTACAGAAAAATTTGTTCTACAATTACTAATTTAAAAGTTAGAACAAAATGAGAAATATCCTTGTGAGACTCCATGCACCTCTATCCAGTGCTCTTCACAAACTATGCTATATCTCTCTTCATTCTCCATAAGCAAATTATTACCTTGACTGGATTTAGTGTTAAAACTGTAACATCTTCATCATTGTTAAAACCTCTTCACTTTCTATTTAAATTTCAGCAGCTCATTCCCCTTGTCTAATGCCTCCTAAGTATACCATCAAGCATAGACAGGTAGAAGTCCATAAATCGTCTCATTCAGCCATAAAAAGGAGTGTTTTCAACTGAATTGTAATATGTTTAAAACCAGAGTTTAATTGTCCTGTCTCAAGGAGAGCACGTTCTGAAAAGCCTCTTAAAACTCGTTATCTAGCCGGCTGACAAAGTGGACAGCGCATTGTGCAAATACGTAAACGAAAGATCATGTGGTTTGGGTTTCATTCTATGGTTTGAGGCGCAAGAAAGTGTATGGAGCAGCTTAAGCTCATTCTTAAGAGCTAACATAATCATAACAAATGAACAATCTGAAAGAATTATCCTAGTTTCCGCAGAAGTGCATTAACGCATATTACATGAATAATTCAACAATTCATGTCACTGTTATATCCATTCGTGTGAATTCGAAAACACAGATGGAGTCGGAAAACTTGGGGCGAATATCAGTTACGAATCCTAAAAGCTCTCACAGCAATCTTTGTCTACTGTGCTAATGTACTAAGTTGTCGTTTTGTTAACCGAGCATACTCGCCATCTAATTTAATTAGCTCATCGTGACTGCCCATCTGCACCATTCACCCAACAAAAAAAAAAAAATGATTAGCAGCACATCACTGCCACTTGTAATCAGCAAAAGTAAACACTCCACATCTACAAAAATTCAAGGACTCCCGCAAAATGGAAAGAAATATACCTCAGCAACCTGGCCATTTGTCATGACCACAATACGGTCAGCAGCGCGTATGGTTGATAGCCTGTTCCAAGATCAGAGAAAATTTCCCTTAGCATACAAAATCCATCTTAAATGATAGATGTGCACCAAATTCTAACAATCACTCGTGTCTTGTACACCACTTGTTATGACCAACGATCTTCAATATACAAGGTCAATTGTGGCGTTTGGAACTTCAATTTAGAACATCTTTACCTGTGGGCAATGACTAGAACGGTGCGCTTATTTTCGCCCACGCCTCCCCGCATAGCTCGATCTAGTGCTTTCTGCAATACGCAATAACAATACTGTGTGAGGCAAGACATCCTGAAAGAGAAACATTCATCATAAATTTTATGAATAACGTCTTATGAGAAGCTTAAGGACCGATAGACGCACACCTTCTTGCACTCACATTACAAGAAGAAACAGATTCTAGACAATGAGAGCATGGTGTGGAATGAAAAAAGCTCATTACCTGCACAAGATGTTCACTCTCAGCATCAAGCGCACTAGTAGCCTCATCAAGGATTAAAATAGCAGGATCTCTTAAGAGGGCTCTTGCAATGGCAATTCGTTGCTTCTGACCCCCACTCAACCGTGAGTTATCAACCATAGTTTTATAACCGTCTGGAAGGGAGATAATGAAGTCATGAGCGTTTGCCAACTTAGCAGCTTTCTCGATCTCCACTTGGCTGGCATCGTCAGACCCATACGCAATGTTGGAGGCTATATTCATACTAAAAAGTCGAGGTTCCTGTAACAAAGTACGAAACAATAGAGTATCGGAATATTAGAGTAAATATAAGACAAGATCGAGATACAATTAAAAAATTAAAAAATTAAAAAAACTGATTTCAGGATATTCTAGCCTCAGTTATGTGCACTATGATCAGCATGTAACGCAAGCAATTCCAACATGGCATAAAAACCTTCACATGAATTTACACGGTCGATAACTTCAACGGTCTTGTGCAATACATGAGCTAATACAGAACTTACCTGGCTCACAACCCCACATTGCTTCCTGAACCACTTTATATCGAGCTCTGTCAGGGAGGCCCCATCAACCACAACCTGCACGGCCATTTTGTGAAATTACCAAAACAAAGATACAGGGCAATATTCAACTGGCATATAATACAGACAACTAGCTCCTAGACCAAATGCACACGTGCACATATGACTTTCTGTTCATCGAAACAATCCCAAGCATGCACGATTTACACCATACTGATCAAACAATTCGTCAACCCTTAAAGATTCGCTAACTACATGCAACCAACAAATCTATGTCCATGCACGACAAAAGTTTGCCTACACTAAAGGCTTACCTGTCCATTTGTAGGCTCATAAAGACGTAGGAGTAAACTCACAAGAGTACTTTTGCCACTACCACTCAGGCCAACCTGCAAAATGTGGAGCGTAACTGTTGTTAAAATTTCTATCCCATTATCGCTAACGATGACGCTTCGAGCTTTACTTTCTCAAGTACACTTGGCCAGGTGTATGTTTCTAATTCTATGCCTTCAGAAAAAATTGAAATGCGTGGTTGGTTTCATATGGGACTCACCACAGCCACAATTTCTCCAGGCTTAATGTCTAAATTTACATTTTTTAGCACATGAGCCTGGGGCCGGGTCGGATAACTGAATGAGATGTCGACAAATTGAATGCGTCCTCTCACCTGAGGAAGAACAATACCTGATGCATAAGAAAAGAACTTTAAAATTAGCGCCGCAAAACAACTAATCCTGTAACTCTAACCCAGAACGTTCAACCAAAAGAACTGTCATAGCTAATGATGAACGAGAATAACAGTACCTACAGAAGACAGCTGCGGGCACGGTGGAAGCTCAAGAAGCTGAAAAACCTTCTCACTAGCACCTATAGCTTGCATCAAAGAAGCCCAATGGTCGCCTACCCACCAGGTGGAATGTACAACCCATTCAGAGTAAAGAATGAACTTTGTAAGTTTCTCAGCACTTATTGCACCGGACATCACAAAGCCGCCTCCGATTATCAGTGCCACCACCTACACAACGAAGATGGCATTGTGACATACGTTCAGCTTCTGTTGCTGAAGCAAGATGTCGGTATGCATCAAGAAATGACTCGCAAGTTACTATTTGGTGTATCCGTCAGAAACTAGAAACCAACGTCAACACTGTAATTTGTACGTTAGATCAGCAGTTTTCCAATTGATTGTGGCCCCTCAATACTTTCGAAGACTACACTACAAGTAGACTTTGCGAAACACTCATCGGAGTAAAATGTATATGCTGTTTGATTATATCCCACTGTTTGGGTACTACCCAAGAAACGCTATCCCTTTAACTAGTCACAAATTTATTAATGAAGAATCCGACGTCAGATCTTTAAAATTCCATTCTTCACATTCCAATCCAAAAAACATGAGCACAAAAGAAACAAGAAATTCAGACACAAAACATTGCTGGAAGATAAAATGGATCTAACCTGAGTAGTATGGTACAGTGTGCAGGAGCTTAAAGTGCTGAAGCCATATGCGATATTCTGGCGAAGGTTGATCTCCATGAGCTTCTTCAACCAATTACTATACCTGCTCTACATCACATGAACTAGGTTTAGCTATGCTATTTACGGATAGCTTATAATACTTCTGAAGATACAATCAGACAATGTATGAGAGTGGACCTGTAAACTTCCTCTTTCTCAGTCCCAAAAGTGCGAACTACTCTCAGAAGTGATAATGCCTCTTCTGCTACTTCATTGGCTGACGCAATTGAATCTTGAGCGAACCTTGCCGTTCGCTTCTGATACCTGAAGCACCGTAAAAGGTTTACGCTGAGAATGAGGCACCATCACGGTGAACTTCCTAGTGAACCACAGCACTATAATTTGCTCCTCGTTTAACTGTTGATACCTGAAGGATTTCAAGTTCTCATTGCTAGAAACTCCATAAGACAACAAGCAAGACAAATTTCCTAAGTAATTTAACAAAGAAGCAAACTCTGTAATGCATTCAGCTTTAACAGACAGAAACATTGAGTTGGAAGTGGGGCTCCGACCAGAGTCCTTCATAATTAGCCACAGCATGTCAAGAAAGTATACATGCGAACAAAAGATTTCAAGAACGAATCACAGACCGGCCGTAGATCCTGGTTAAGAACCACATAAGGCTGCAAACGCCAAGAGTGGTCAATGCAAGTTGCCATGAGAGTGTTAGAAGATACACGAACGCCCCCAAACCCTGCATATGAATGACCTCAAAAGAATCAAAATGGAAACCTGTGATAATGATTGATAAAATCCAGGATATTGTGAAATTCGTTCGATGGTCTTAATTAAGTGATAATTCTAACTTAAGCCTAGCAGGAAGGTTACGAGACATCAATATATAACAATAAAAAATGTTAAGCGCAGTAAAATCTTGAATCCTGAGGTGACTTTTGTCAGATTTTGGGCAACGAATGATGAAAAAGGAAGTAGGGAATGTAGAGGAGGCCAGAATCCGCTCACCTGAAGGCCATTGCGAAACATAATATTCAAATCATTGCCAATAATCCGAGAGACCTGCTGACAATCTGATCCCAATCGGCTTGTGAGGGACCCAACAGCCTCCGTATCAAAAAAGACGATATCCTGTAATAAGAATAAACTTTTTGAGGGATACTTACAGGTAGTATGTATTTTAAAGATCAAACACAACAATGAGCTCAGCTGCAACACACATACCCTCCAAATTTCCTGATAAGTATAGTAATAAATTCACAAATCAAGGTCAAGACGAAACAAAGTATGTGTCTCGTCATCTACATTAACAAACATTCACATCGATGTTGAGGTAAAAATGACAAGACCTGTGATACAAGAGTAGAAAACAACAGTTCTCGCATACGCTTGACCTGCAATCAGAAGAATTCCGTTAGCTTGTGTTAGGGTCCAACAAATAATACTACAGCCCACGAGACTGAGAACCATGAGGATTTTCATGGAAGAGCAGCTACTTACCAGAATTTGATTCGCGATACCAAAGCAACCACCTCTTATACCGCTGCACCATACAAGAAGACATCCTTACACAATGAGTAATAGTGATCGCAAACCTGTTCTATTCACAGCCAAATAGATGAAACAAAGTCATTTTCAAGGAATGTCTGAAAGGGAGAGAATGCTCTTTCAGAAAATCTAACATTTAACTTCAAAGTACATGAACAATAGTTTCATTTTAATACAACATGGAGAAATACAAAAATTTCAAGTGGCAAACCAGACTCAGCATCACTATTGGCAACACAATTGAAATGGACTCAGAAATCAACCTGAAAAGACCGTATGTGCAACTCATCATGACCAGCAATCTTGCATTGTTGTAGAAATCATTTGTCATTCCTTTTTGTGCCGAGAAGATCATTGCTGCCACGAAATGAGGTATTGTGATCTCAGACAACTGTGTTTTCACAGATACACAGTGGATGAGCACCGTCAGAGCACAATTAATCATCCTTGACACTGCAGGAATGATTAAAACAATAACTCCCTGATTCTGACAATGACATTAATATACCAGTAAAAGATCATCGCTGCTTCCTATATAGTGACGTAAGGTGAGAAACTTACAGCTGCAATAACAAGAGCAGTGAAGGCAAAACCGATAATGAGCTTGTCAGGAGAAACAAGAACCCACAGCCTGCTCATGGCACCAGTAAAGGTAATGTTGAAAGTCCGTTGGTGCTGTCTTTCAATGGCCTGCCACCAGCTTCCATTTGGGAGGAATGCCTTCAAGGTTTTCAAACTCAAAAATATTCGCGCCACAAAAGCAAGTTCCTCTGCATACAGAGCGGATCCATTTCTTTCCTTACCTACATACGATATAAAAGGTTGATTGCATCAGAAATCTAGCAGGATTCAAGACCCATGAAAAATCTGTAAGAACGAAGATATCAAGACAGAATCGGGTATCTAACCGCATGTTGATTTGCTCCTGCCCAATGTAACTGTTGTTTCTATTAAGGTATGAGCACACGCATTCAGCACTCCTCACCTTGACATTTACACAATGCATGGTGCAACTGAACAAAGAGTCGGAGAGGACAATTACAACGAACCAGAGTATCTGACGGCTACGTAAGTAATTAGGCATCGCCCAAAGACAGCTATGGTGTTTGCCTCTTTCTCACGAGTGACTCTTCAAAATATACTAAAAATCACTTTAGTTTCAAGATATTACATCTGAGATTATGATGTAGGTTATGAGACTTATATTCCTGTGCTCCAAAAAAATATCACCCCGCTTAGGACAAGACATCCATTTCTTTCAGCCTCAACCAGAGAGAACACATGTTGATTGACGGCTAAATCATAGTAATGATGTACCTTTTTTGAAATCGTAAGACCCATTGGCACCCAAGTCCGCAGAAGAGAAGAGAGCGCCGCTGTCAGCTGCACAGCGCACGGAAGGGTGATAGTGCACTTTCCTGCGCCCAAGCTCTGGCAATCCCTTCCCATTCCACCTATCCAGCGAATTGATAGTGTTTATAGGTAACAGATCAGTGATCCCATCCTTCAGTTTCTCGAAGCCTTTGTCTCGCACCCTGCTCTGACTCTGATTATACCACCTCGCCTCATGTGCTTTTCTTGCTGATACTTCCACATGGTTTGCTTTCAAGTGCCTGGTGCATTGATGTTTTCTTGAGGTCGACCTGCGTATCTCCTCATAATTAAGATACGAGGGGCTTAATGTGCCGTGCTGCCATGACAGCAACCCGAGAGGTGCCGTGCCCATGAAAGCCTACCTTGCTTATGTTATGACTCGAATATAGCTTTACTTCACGAACCCACCCATGGACAGCAGATTAACAATTACCCAGACCATGTTACATCTTCATGTCGCAAGATAATTGAGCATGATCCTGGTTTCCAAGCTCGAAGAAATTGAAGGTGCTAAACTTCACAAAAAGCCACTTCTGCGCCTGGCACAAAAAGGACAAAAAAATATGGCCTTCAATTCTTAAATCTCCAATAGCTCTAGACAAAGAAGTCATGCTCACAACTGAAGCAAAATGAGACAAGGTGAACAAGGTGACAAAACAGCAAAAAACTAACAGCAGTACCAACTTCGTGCAATACCGTAGTACGAAGCTTCTTCAACCTTATTATTCTGTTTGTTCTTTGTTTGTCTAGAAAGGAACAGAATAACATTTGCTTAACATCAGTAGAATCATAACGGCTCTACAGAATAATCTTAAAACAAGCGAAATTCAAAGAATGGACGGTCCAATGATCATGGAGGTCAAAAACCCCATCGAATATCATTTAGGTCTCGACAAACTAATTCCCCACATGATGCATCCAGTTAGCTAAGACAGCACATGGACTCCATGAAACATGCGGATTGGTAGAAATGAGTGCGCGTGAATCCAACAACATATGAGAAAGCGAGAGACTCTACTTAAGATCAGAGCTACAAACCGTGTGTTCCGAAATTCCAGGAAAGAGGCATGGGCTTGACAGACAATATTCCAAATGGTGAAGCTAAGTGCCAGCACAAGAGCCCTTTTACCGTCTCTAAAACCTAATCCAACCCAAAACATCGCTGGTTAAAGGGCACTGGAGTGGAAAGCTGCAACGAAATACAGAATGCACGGGTGAAATGAAAGTGGGCAACCACTCATCTTCCCTAGATCCTCGCCCTCGAAAGAATATAATATGACAGCTGAATGGCGCAACCACCTTACCTGCACTAACCTCTTTATGGTTCTAGACGACTATAACTACGCTGATTGACAACGACAGAATGCACCCAGTTCGAAACATGTCGTCGAATCTACCTAGAAGTATCTTTAGAAACCAGCTACAAATTAGCGTGCACTGGTCTGAACCAACCAATGAATCATACAATTTTGAACTCACACATTATCTAAACGGACCGAAAACAAACAATTGGCTACAAGCAGCACACCATCCGCACCCAAACTATGCATACTCCTCAAGAGTAACCTCAGCAGACCTAAAACTTACACACAAAGCAACAGAGCATCGCAACGCATCGAACAACCGAAAACAGAAGAAGCAAGAGATAGAGGGAAAAAAAAAACAAAACAAAACAAAACAAAAAAACAACAACAACAGCAACAACAACGGATGCACGCGCAAAGCCAATGCACCTGAGAATCGAACTCAAATCCTGGATCTCAAGCTACCTCTAGAATCATGGGAAAAAACAGCTCCAGTTAGACACTCTAGTGATGAGTGGGGCAATAGGAGCAGGCTGGAGGTACCAATGTGCAGAGGGTGAGGCGGGATGCAGAGGAGTAGAAGGAATCCCAGGGCAGAGAAGGCGAAAAGGAAACTTGGATGTAGCGGGGCAACCTTACAGTGGCAACGCAAACGAAGGAAGGGAAGGGAAGGGAAGGAAACGAATCAATACGAAACGAGAGGAGGACTACGGCGAGGACGACGGCGAGGCCGACGACGACCAGGGGAGCAGCAGGAGGAGCAGGAGAAGCAGCAGTCTGGCAGAAGCCCCCGCCCCACCTTGACTGCTTGATGACCTAGCACCGGGTGCAGCCCGCTGGATGGCGGTGGTGGGGATGGATGAATGGATGGATGGATAAGCAAGCTGCTAGTGCCTATTCCTTGCTTGCTTACCCCATTGCCTTTTTAGGTTACTTTTTGCCAGTCCCAGTCCCGGCCCCAGCCTGCTCCTGGCCCTGGTGTGGCTGGCTGGCTGGCTGAGTGCCCTCCTTTCTCCCTTTCTCTCCCTTCCCTTCCCTTGTGAGGGGAGTTGGTGATGCCCTCCTCCACCTGGCACACCCTGATTGCTCTCTTCCTCTGCTATACCTCTCTCTCTATGTTTATGGTTTTATGATTTATGTTTTATGTTCATGGTTTTATGTTTTTGGTTTTATGGTTTGATTTATGGTTTTGCTAATATAGTATGATTCAGGGGGTGGCATACACTCTCTCCCTCTCTCTCTCACTCTCACTTGGTTGTGTGCATTGTCTTTGTCAACCATTCACACATCTTGTACACCCACACACATACTCACGATATATATATATATATATATATATATATGCATACATACATATTTGTTATAAGCATCCATTCATTCTCTCCTAACCAACTCTTCCCCTTCCCCACCCAACAACACTTGCAACCCTGCTCTTGTACTCACTTTCAAATTCCATCCCCCCCCCCCTACTTCACTTCTATGTCTGTCTATTTTTAAAAAACATTCTTACTCATTACTATTCCCATGTTCATTTGTTCACTTACTCATTCAGAAGTCTATATATATATATATATATATAAATAAATGTATTTTTATCCAAGTCTTCACATTCTTGAAAGAAGGATTAATTTTAAATTCCATGAAACAGGTATAGGAAGTTCAACACTTGTATTTATTTTTAGGTAACAAATTGTTCACAAATATACACCTAAGTTTCTACAATCTGTGTATGTATAAATACATATACATACATATGTTCAAACAAAATTTGTAAGAACTCTTGTGTGCTGCCAAATGAAAATACGTTCATCATTATAATTTTTTTAATATAGAATGGAAACAACTTCATTCTATAAACAAACAAATGAATGGATGAAATTGTGGTTGCTCAGCACATCCAGAATGATTCAGATGCATATTTTATTGACATTGTTATATTACAACCATAATTAAATTTTAATATTCTACAATGTGCTGTGTGTATCATATACTACTTGTAAGGAAAAGAAAATGAGACAGAATTATCATGTAAGAAATTTTTTTTATTGTTACAAATATAGTGATGGATATGTGTGTGTATATAAATAAATAAATAAATAAATGCCCACACACATGCTTATGTATGCTTTTTGTTTAAAAAATAATAATTAACAATCCAACTGCAATATTTATTTCATTGAAATAAAAAATTTAACAACATAATTAGAATAAATAATGAACAGAAATTACCTGTTCAAAATTACTCTTTACAGATTTTCATTCAAAAATCAAAAAAACCCAAGCAGTTCTGAAAAAAATCTATATTCATATGTGATATTTTTACAAGAATATTACAAATAATTTTAAACAATTTTCACATGTGCTTCATCTTGCACATGCTACACACAATACATTGGTGTTCAATTTATTTATTTATTTATTATTCTGTTGATCATCATCCAATTTAGTAAATAATTTTAAATTTGAAATATCACATATCACTTTCATTTATCAATTATCACAAATCACATATATCAAACATTAAATAGCACATATCACTTAAGTACATCCTTTTATATGTATTCCAAGTTCCAAATTGGCACCATCTTATTTTGTGATTTTAATGTATATAATAGTACCTACATTCCACCGCTTACTACTCATGGCAACTGCACAAGATTGTAATAATCCTATATCAGTAAAACTGGAAGTTAATGACACTACAAGAGACTCTTGAGTAAACAAAGTCCCTCAACCAAGTCACAATCATGGAGAGTTCGCAAGTCACAGTGCTCTAAAATTTAAAACTGGTATAAGTCAATAGTGAAGGATATCATATCAATATAATCTTGTGATATCAAATAAGTTCAAAATGAAACTACACTTTTTGATAAACAACTTAATAATATCCCAAACACATTCTACATGATTCAAGGTAGATATCATAATTGCTTATGAGAAAGTTTTCACTCTTGCGAATCCTCGTTGCTAAAATTTGACTTCGACCTAGTGAGTTTCGCGGCAGCAATAACAAAGCTTTTGAAATTTTGAGAGGACACCTCCATATCATTCCAGTCATGATAATTCACATCATACCATGACGGCCACAACTGGCAGCAACTATGACATCGAATAATCGAAGAGAAGTGTGTCCGTCACTCGAAGTCTTGATTTCTTTCCTGTTTCTCCCCTCGTGCAAAGACTCAGCGTGAGTCAGTTTAGTGGAAGAAATGGAACATACAGTCCATCGGCTTAACTCATGGTCTAGAGCATTTCAGGTCTGCAAATCTACAGTAGTCGCAGAGGTAACAAAAAACCACGCCAATATAGAAACAGTGGGTAAGGTACAAGAACACCGACCCAAGAACATAAAGAGCAAAAATGCTTCGAGCAAAAGTTAGTTTTGTAGAAGCTCTACTCACAACTAACTACTCATGGTAGGGACTAGAAGCCATACCTTGCTATGCTATGCGATGCTAGTAGTATATTGGGCTATTTATTCTTCATTGCAAGCGACTGCAGTCCCAACAAAAACAACGTTCCAAAATGACACACATGTTCAATTCTTGGAGATGATTGATCTCAGTCTCCAACTCTACCACGGACTTCTTCTTGCGCTGATTTTGACTTAATCCTTCGTTCCTTCGTTCCTTTTGAAATTAACTAATGCAGAAATGCCCAAGTTGCATCTCCCTCTCCACATGAGCACAATCACTACATACCCAAATCAACCTGGTTATGAACCACCCAATCAACACAAATTGAACCAAATTTTAGTGGATCCAAACGAAACAGTAATTGTTTATCTACTCACTCATTTTGTATTTATTTTGGTTCATCTATACAAAAAAAAAAAAATTATTTTCCTAAAATTTAATATGTTGTATAAGTTGAAATACAAACAGTTTTTGAAGTGTATATCTTTAATCTGAATATTAAAAGTATATATATATATATATAAAACTTTACTTAATCTAAGCAAAGATTTTATTTTTTTTGTTTTTTTTGTTTCTTTGTTTTTTTGTTTTTTTGTTCTTTTTTTTTTGTTAGAATGTCAATCCAAAGTATCTATTGTCTTGTAGTTTTATAATTTTGAGTACTAAAAAAACTATCTAAATAATAATAAATAAATAAATAAATAAATAAAAACCAATCAAAATAAACAAAAGATAATTAAAATAAACAAAACACCGAAGTTTTTTAATGCACTTTAGAATGCATTAGAAAACCTCAATCTTTCTTACTTCTATCCCAGTATATTCAATTGGAGATTGTTTGTGATGGCTCATTTATAAATAAAAATTTAAGCACCTTGCCATCAAAATGTCAAATGTACTTTGGAAACTTATAAGTAACACTCATAGTTTAATCAATAGAAATTTACTCAAAATTCAATACTTATTTATTTTTGGTATTTTTTAGTATTGATTTAATTTCAAAAATAAATTAAAATAGATCCTTTAGCAACCAATTGAGTCAAAAAGTATTTATAATTTCTTTTGTATTTTTAATATATTTAGAAAATTATGAATTTATTTTAAAATACCAAAAATAAATATTATAATCAAATAGATTTATAAAATATCTATACTAAGATATCATAGATTGTTTTTAGACTTATTAACTAAAAGTCTAAAGATATATTTAAAAATATACTAAAAAAAGACCATATCAACTATCAAAGCACTTTAGTTTTAAATTTTGACAAGTTTTTTCTATCAAAATCATATTTATTGAGAATTCTATTGTAGATGTTACTTCTAGAAACAAAAATACATAAACATTAGAACAAGTACTGAAATTTTGATAGCAACAAGTTTTGCCTAAAAATAAAACTTGTAGAATTTTTTTAAAATACAAATACAATCTAAACTATGCTTAACATGATTTATTTTGTAGCTTTTTGTAGCTCAAAGATGGTAGTAAATTAAGTAAAAATAAAAGATTTCAACAAAGAAGTGTGTCCAAATTTGACACCAAATAGCACTATATATAGAAGAACAAATATTTTATTCTACCATAAAATATAATTTTACATTAATAAATAAATAAAGTAAAATCAATAGTATACAATTTATTTGTATTGAAGATATTTTATAATGTTAGAAATTTTTAATTTAATAACCAACACACACACATATTCATATATATATAAATAAATTCCATACTTGCAAGTAAAAACTTAGAAGTTACAATTTTAGTCCTAATACTGAGATTTTATTTATCTTTCAAAATAGGAATTAAATCTTTATTTTGAAGTCACCACATAATGTACTATTTTTATGTATATAATCAAAAACATTCAAGAATAATCTAAATTTTAAAAATAAAATGCATATCAATCTTTTGATAACTTCTAGTCTTAAGAGTATCAATTTTACTTGTGTTTTAATCTTTATATAAATTACATACTATTGGAGATGTATTAGAATATTTTACACTTTGATGCTATTTTCTATTACTTATTAGTATGTTATAATTGATGTGCTACAAGATTAAAATAAAGATGAATGGTTTTTTTTTTGAGAAAAAAAATTACATAAAATAAACAAAAGAAAAAGAAATAAACAATATAGAAGTTTTTGTAGTTAAAAACTTTATCTTTACATAGATATGATTTTTTTTTATAGATCTTCTACTACTTTAGTACTTCACAATTAGATAAGAAACATAGATTCAAACAAAAACAAACCAACTTTATAAATCAACCTATTTATATATATTTATCACAAATTTGGTTTGATTTAGCTATAAGAAGGCTATTAATGTGATTTGAGACTAAAGCCGTATTTAGATTCTTGTATTCATAATTTTTTTAAACTTTCAAGTATATAATAGAACACTTAATAGTATTAAAATTTTATTCTATGAACCTCCTTAGTGTTCAAACTTAATTATTATTTGGCAAAACTATCCTTGAACAAAACACCCAAAACTACAAGAAGAAATAAATAAAACAAGATGCAACAAGTTTGAGTTCATTATTTTTTATTTTATGCATAATAATCAATAATACAAAAAATATATATATGAAAAAAAAAATATCTATATATAAGTATATAAATCTCAAAAATAATAAAATTAAAAAAAAATAAGCTTCAATTTTTTAAATTTTGCCCATTTTAAAATTTTAACAATATCTTGCAAGACCAGCTACATAATCCCTATTTGATGATGTTTGTATACTTGTGGCCATTTATATGATTTTTAGTTAATACTCAAATAATCAGAATATGAATTTTAATTAAAATAAATATATAATCATATAAACATGTATACATATTTTAAAGATAAAATATAATAAAAATACTTAGTTAAACTATCACAATTACTTGGACGATATTCTTTAAACTTAGAAACAAAATTTCTTTAAATTATTACTTAATTGAATAAATAAAAAATAATAATACAAACTGAAAGCTTAAAAATAAGTAAATAAATAGGATCTCAAAAAATAAAAGAACCATCAACGTTGTCTTAACTTGAAGACAACTAATTTTGTTTTACTCAAATAGTTATAGATTGGTTGTCTTTATTTTAAGTTTAATAATTTTTTTTGTTATTAATACAAAATCTAAGATAGTATAGCTCCAAAAATTTTGTAACACATAAATTTCTTTTTTAAACTTAGATGTTTCAAATTTCTAGGTATTAAAATTTCTTGAGTTTTAGTTTTGAAGCACCAAATATTTTTAAAAGTTTGTAAATAATGGAATAAAAGACACATAGTGAGGCTACAAGCCTATTGTTAGTTTAGCAAAATGATGAGATTTAGAGCCCTAGTTGATGTCTTTATTTAGAAATATCAAAAAATATTAGTAGATTAGAAATCTTACAAGGCTCATCTTCTTATGGCTTAATCTTTGAATGGTGTTTGAACATGTATGTATGGGTGTTAAACATGCATTGATGTAATATTATGCATTTCTGTACAAAACTGTGTGTGGTTATTTGTTTAAATTCTTGCAAGTCTACCTTCAAGTTGGTATGAATTGAGACTTTTTTATCATAACAAAAACAATTTAGCACTTGCATATATATATATATATATTAATGCGGTTGTGAGGTATACTTAAATAAATCACTTTAAATAAATCTCAACATATTGTGGCTAATTTCTTAGATTTCTATAGATATTTGGTAAAGACAAATATATAGAATTTGTAAGAAATAAACCTTGGTCGACTGTTTGGCCAACTCTATTAGGTATAATATGTAAGCAACAATAGAAAGAAATCAAAAACAATTACAATATCCATTGTTTATATTCATATTTTAGCTTTTTGTCCAATAACATAAAATTTTATTTTTATAATTAACAAATTGGCAAACATCATTTAAAAAAATTAAAACCTAGTTTAGAAGAATCAATGGATAGTATTTACTTCTATAAGTCATATATATATATATATATATATATATATATATTTATATATATATGTAAAATAAACCAATATACCTTATCAATATCAACAGTACAAAAATATAATTAAATTTAATTAGAATTAAACCACTAAAAGTAAATGATATTTTGTAAAAATAAATAAGTTTATACTATTACAATAAAGATTTTGTTCTTATTTGTTGATATTGTGATTTTTTCTTTTTTTATTTTAAAATTAGTCTATTATCTATCTATGTACATTCATCCAATGTTGCATTGTTTTTCATAAATTGTACTACCATAAATCTTTTAAATCCATTAGTATTTACTAAATCTCTCCATACCATTACAAACAAGTTATTGGTATTTTCTTTTCAATGATTAAAACTAAAAGTTCAAATCATTTTAAAAAAATCTAAGTATTCAAATAATTCTATTATCAAAAATACAAACAATATCAGAATAAAATCAAAGAAAATAAATTTATATCTCTTAAGAAAAGAAAAAGCTAAAAATAAAAAGAATTGGACCTTAAAAACATCCACAACTACTTCTCTTAAAGACCAATAAACATTTTTTTCTAGAAATAAAACAAAATTGTAGACCTTTGCAAAACACTACACACCAACAAAAAATTACAAAAAATAGAGAAAAATTTAAAGTCATGCACACCAAACATGTAAGTGCAAACCAAAACCAACAAATTTTTTCATTGTCTACAAAGCACCAAACTTTAAAAAAAAAAAACCAAAAAAAAAAAAAAAACAAATAAATAAATAAATAACAAGACTAAAATAGCACAACAAAAAAAGAAAAAAAGAAAAAGAAAAAAAGGACCTGTTGCACTTTTTTACAATGCAACCAAGTATAACCAAACATGAATCAACCAAAATTTGCTACTAAGAATAATAAAAACATGATAAACTAATGGAGTACTACTACCACAACAAAACCAAAAGGCACCCAACTTTAACACACTTATATGAACAAAATAACAATAAAATAAAATAAAACAAAACACTTTACATATTTAAATGAAACACAAGGAGATTTTTTGCTCCATCATGTTTGTGTCTAAAACTCTAACTACAAACCTCAAACATAACCATCCATTTTAGTCATGTTTCATTTCCTCAAATTATAAAAATCGTGTATTCAAAACATCAACAACACCAACAGCAAACAAATAAACAAACTCATATAAATACAAGATTGTTAATATGGTGGGAAAAACTTATATTCTAAAGATCAATCTTGTAACAAGCTGCACACTATTGCCAATTCTAAAGCAATATTGATCCTCTCACCTTTTGGTTTGCAAATTGCAGCTTCGATGTCAATTCAGTTCCTTGGTATTTGCTACAAAACTACCAAAATTTGAGCACATGTGACCCAAACTTATACGTGTTATACTTTGAGGTCCTAGCATCCGCTCACCCTAACTTCCTAAATCCGCTCAGCCTTTCTTACAGCACCAAACGCATCACATAACATACTTAAAACTATTCAGAATGCATTATGATGGTATACAAGTCTTTTGATTACTATCGCACAATAGCTAATCAGACCATCATTGAGGATCCAAATAAATCAACTGCATAAAATGCTATAGCCAGGTGATGTGGATTACGCAATGATGCATAATCTACTACAAAGTCCGATCGATAAGTGGCTAGTGCCTATGTCATTAACTTCTTCACACCACAATTTACCATTGCACTTAACAAATCGACTAGCACCCTACAAAGAACTATAAGATGTCCAACCAAACCACACAATCCAAAAGCCACATTTATCAATACTACAACACTGAACAAGAGTACCCAATGTTTGCACACTCTGCTGAAAGTTTTATCCTGTTCGAACTTCAATTTACACCCCACAATTTGCCACAAATAACATAATAAATAAATAAATGAAAAAAACCTCATGGCCTTTGCACTCAACCTATTCCAACCCCAAAAAACAACTAGCCACATTTCTAAATTAACCACCTCTCTCAAATAGCACAAAACAGGCACAATATAACCAAATGAACTCAAAGAAGTGATTCGCTTCCCAAACATTCGCCTCCACGAATGTACCGTTAAGTCTGATATTCAAGATAACATGGTACATTAACATCACACTTCCACATCCACAAAAAGACTCAACCTTCAGTGCCTCATCCACATGCCTTCCACTTAACAAAAACAAAGTGAGTAAACATTAACACAACTTCAAGTTCACAAAAGCAAGGACAACTAACACAATCAATGCAGCGGCTAACACCACATACGTAACAATCAGAATCATGCAAGACCAGAGCATCAACAACCATCATACCGCCATCGCACGCCCTCATGCATACAGCACAAAAAGAAACGCTGTTGTCTCAGAACCGATGATTTCAGAGCTATATATATATATATATATATATATATATATATCTTTTATTCACCACTACAGATGCACTGGGTCCGCGAAAAGCGACCACGAAAAATTCGCTTCCTGGACGTTGCTATTGCTCACATGCAGGAGGGGTAGTGATTGCGTCGATCTAAATAATTTGAACAAACGACTCTGTTACACACCACCACTGGCGACGCGGATTCCAACCATCCAACACCACAGCCAACTCAACATGATCTCTACAGCCTGGTATTTTTCA